AAAGGTGAATATGAGTCTCAGATTAAACATTTGTTTGCATTTGAATTCACTGTTGTGAAGATTCCACATTTGTTTTTATAATGGAGTTACAAAAATGGAGAAATTTGCATGGCATAATGCTGATTTTTTAAAAACACTATCAGACCAGTAACTAAAATATTGTGTCTCACTTTTTTACTCATAAACTGTAGTCACATAATTGACATCATTAAATTTTTTTTCATTCTGTACATGATGTAGGGAATCCTGTTATTTCCATTTGCCAGTGAGAAAGCTGAGGCCGGGAGAGGCTTAGTAAGCTGCAGATGAGCTGGGTATGGAACAGCATTTTGATATGAATCACACACGTGTGACAAAATGTTTGCAGATAGTGGATAGCCAACATCTTTTCCATTTGGTAACATATTTGTGGAAACTTCATAAATACCCTGTGTCAAAATCTGTATAACATAGATACAGTGGCTCTTGATCACTCAGAGTCATTCCATTCCTCATAATCCAGGAGGTTTCAGTACATAATTCTAACACTACAGGAAAGTACCTCATTTCTAACTATTTGTACTTGATCAGTACTTGATCATGGCTATTTTTTTTTTCTTTTTGCTCATTCCTAGTGAGCAATGGACTCTTTATAACTATTTGATGAGGGTGACTTTATCCTCTCAAGTTGATAGCTACTGTATATTCAATAGTCTGGAAGCATTTTTATTCCTGAAATATGGAAGCTGGTAATCATTTTTATAATAATGTATTTCTTTACCTGACCCTAAATATATAGTATACACATGAGGAATGGCATGGCTTTACCTTATCTTTTCTTCCTTTTTGTTTGTTTGTTTTTTAAGACAGTCTCACTCTGCCATCCAGTCTGGATTGCAGTGATACAATCTTGGCTCACTGCAACCTCTGCCTCCCAGGTTCAAGTGATTCTCATGCCTCAGTCTCCCAAATAGCTGAGATGACAGGCATGAGCCACCACAGCAGGCTAATTTTTGTTGTGTTGTTGTTTGTTTGCTTTTTGAGAAGGAGTCTTGCTCTGTTACCCAGGCTGGAGTGCAATGGCGCGATGTCGGCTCACTGCAACCTTTGCCTCCCAGGTTCAAGGGATTCTCCTGCCTCAACCTCCTGAGTAGCTGGGATTACAGGTGCCCACCACCACGCCCGGCTAATTTTTTGTATTTTTAGTAGAGAGGGGTTTTCACCATGTTAGCCAGGATGGTCTCATAATCTGCCTGCCTCGGCCTCCTAAAGTGCTGGGATTACAGGCATGAGCCACTGCGCCCAGCCTAATTTTTGCATTTTTTAGTAGAGTCGGGGAGTCAGAGTTTTGCCATGCTGGCCAGGCTGGTCTCGAACCCCAGGTCTCAAGTGATTCACCCATCTTAGCCTCCCAAAGTGCTGGGATTACAGGCGATTTTTCATTCTTTAAAAAAAAAAAAAAAAAAAAATGAGACCATAAGAAATTTTATCTTCTAAAAGTATGAATAAACTTTTCTTTTTTTTTTAAAAGAAAGGATCTTGCTCTGTCACCCAGGCTGGAGTGTAGTGGCACACAATCATAGCTCACTACAGTCTCCAGCTTCTGGGCTCAAGTGATCCTCCCACCTCAGCGTCTCAAGAAGCTAGGACTATAGCTGTGTGCCACCATGCCTGGCTAATTTTTACTTTTTGTGGAGGCAGGGTCTCGATTTGTTGCCCAGGCTGGTCTTTGGCCTCAAAGGGTCATCCCATCCCGGCCTCTGAAAGTGCTGGGATTACAGGTGTGAGCCACGAGGTCTGGCCTCGCTCGTGTATTTACGAATGCATTCAGCACTTTACGGGCGTCTTGCCCAGCATATCTTACTTTTCTTTCAGCCCAATCGCTATCAGCTAGGCTCTCCACATTCTATTCTACTTTTGAAAGCTCTGGCTAGCTCACATGACTATAATCGCATCTCTATAATGAAGAATGTTAATTTTACAGATTCTTCCAGCTACCAAGGCATACATTATCCATGAAGTCAGACCAACGTGGGCAGAGGGTGGTTTTTGAAGTTTCCAGATAATTGCCTGTTTTTCCACTTTGTCTTCAAAGACCTGATCAAGGCTTGGCTACTTCTTCCTTATACTGACTTGACATGGGATTGGAACAACATTCCTCTTTTCTTCTGTCACTAACTCTCCTCACATGTCTCTAGACAATCATCTTCTCAGAGACAAGTTACAGTGGAGCCCCCACTCCGGACAAAACTTACTGGGGAATACAAAGGTGAATAGAATGAAGTCATAGCTCTCAGTCAATAAAAGACACCAAAAATAAATATACAATGAGTGCCACAAGAGAAGAAGGAGCAAAGAGCTACGGAAGGAAAGATGAGAGAGAGAGAGATCTTCTGGGAATTACTGAGAAAAACATCATGAGGGAGGCAGTGTTTGAGTGCAGGATTTCAAGATGAAGAAAGGGGAGGAAGGGCATTTCAGTTGAAGGAAATGGGATGAGAAAGGACAGAGAAATCAAACCTAAAGGCATACATGGGAACTGGGGAGAGTTCCCATGGGTTTCCTGTTGGGGCCTTGGGAGATCTGAACACTTAGATACCAAAGAGCAAACACAGGGTGTTGAACACAAATCAAAAGGAGTTTGCACTCATGCTTTAGGAAACAGAAGTGGCTTGAGGTTTGGAGCAGGGAGTGACACAACCAAAGCAGCACAGTAAAAGAACTGAACTGGAAGCAGAAGTTAGGAAGGCAGAATGAGAGTGAGCTAGGATAATTACGGCAATAGTCCATGCAGGAGGTGGCAAGAGCCAGAGGTAGGACTGGTGGGGATCTGATAGAAAGGAAGTGGCACTGGGAGTTACTACCACGGGAACCCTGACATTTCCGGGGTGTGTGTCTGTCAGGGAGGAATGTGAGAAGAGAACGGTGTAAAAAAATGAAGACCAGGTCTCCCACACGAGTGACTTAGGACATGGTGGTCCTAGCGTAAGAGAGGAAAGTATGAAATTGATGAATGAAATTTTTAGACATTTTCAGTTTGGGATAACTGGGGAACAACTGGGTAAACTATCCCCTTGCCAGTTGCAAATGTGAGCCTAGATTTCTAATGAAGGCTAAGAGTTAAGATTAAGATGTGGCAATAATGTATCCAGCCAACTTAAACTCCTGGTTCTAGAAAACCAGTAGCTTGTTGCCAGAGCAGCTCACCTAAAAGCCCGGTCATGTTCTAGGTGTTTTATATTTTCTGCTATTCACTTCTCACCATAAAGCATTCCTATCCCCACTTTACTGATGAGGATTTGGTGGCTCAGAGATCTTATACAATGCACTGACCTCAGGAGGGAGGTGTCCAAGTTCTCATTCACCCTTGTTTTCCCACCACACAAGGTAATGGTAGCTTTCTCTCTCTTTTTATTTCCAAGTACCCAAAGTAAGTTCTACCATGAATTATTTTGACCACTAATATATTTTATCCATTCTCATCATTTATGCTGCTTGACTGCAATTGCACCCAATTGGCCCCAATTATAGTGCCATTCCCCTGTCTTGTTGCTGCTTTTAACTTAGCGGCTCACTCTCTCATTATTTAGGATTCCAAGACAGTGTCCGTTTAGCTTCCACATCTGGAATTCTTTCCACAATCCCACTAGGACATTGGTCCTTGCATTAGCTTTGGACTAGGAGACCCTTAGCAGTTCAGAATGCATGCTAGACATCAATCAGCCCTATATCATCATGACCCCAAACCTTCCAAGATAAAAGCCTCACATACTACTGAACTAGCATGAAAACAAAACAAATTATTTTCATCTCTTCAGTGATTTGGTGGCTACTGCGAGTATTATATTCAAGTTTTCTCTATTCCCTGACAAAATGACCCATCATAAACATTTTCTAACAGCTACATGTTTTATCTTTATTGTGAATAGCAGGGTTCAATACCTTTAAAAATCTCTAGCCTCTTTAGCAGTTCTCCATTGAAAGTCATATTTTCTTACTAATTGTGTTTCTTGCTATTCTTGGTTAACCAGCTCAGAATTGGAAAATTCTATGTTCCCGTGTGCTAGGACTCACACTTTGCTTCCAAGTAACTCAGATAACTCTGAAGTCACAAATTAATTGTCACAGTGTGGTAGGTGAAAATTATTATTCTCCTTACAGATGAGGAAGTAGTTGCCCAGAGTGGACTGTGACTCATCCCACTCCCTGGATCTTTTTAATAAAACATTCACAGCTAACCTGCTCTCACTTAAAATCCTTCAAAAATCATGCCCAGGTTGAATTTTTGCTTCTCCTTCCCTAACTCCCCAAGAGGAAAGCATGCCAACATTCAGAGTGTTGTGAGAATGGGTAATTTGGGACTGGAGGTAGCAGGAAGAATCTGTGGCTCTTTGGCCTGGAGAAAAGAAGAAACAGAGATACATGGAAACTGTTCTCAAATAGAAGAATGGTGGGTGTGTAGAAGAGGGAGAAAGTGGGGTGTTATAGCTCAGAAGGTGGAATTGGAAGGAAGGGAGAGCTATACAGGCCGACCTTCTGTGGACTTCTCATTAGTCTGTTTATGCAGTGCTCCAGAACTTCCCTTCAAATTCAGATCACAGGACCCATCCTTTGTGGAGTTCTCTTCCTGTTGCTGTTCAAAGTGTCGGGACACTTTGCTGAGGTCCCTTAACTTTCTCATGTATCTACACAACAGCACTGAAGTCAAAATGCTTCCTTCCTTTTTGGCCCACCAATCAGAATGTGAGCGTCATGTGGGCAGATGTGAACCATGGCATGCTCATCCCTGTGTTCCTAGCATTTAAATAATAAATTTCTCTAAAATGGAATCAAACACTTCTGAAAGTAGGGAGATCCCAGTTTCTATAGGTATTCAACCAGAGACTGTTATAAAGAAACTTTAATCATGCAACTCTACCACTCTGTAATGTCTAAATTTCCAGTGCCTTCTTATTTGAAGTGATTTCACCAATCCCAAAGAGTTTAAAAATATAACTAAACCACGCACACAAGCCCTCGACATGACTGTATGATTCGTTTAATACTCTGACTTTAATAATGATTGACCTAGAAATTATTAAATGTCTTTTCAGGCCAATGTCTTTAATTATACGCCTTGGTCTACACAAACTTTTGTTGAACACCTACTAAATGTCAGACTCTGATGATAAAAGAACGAGAAAGAACCCTGCTCTCAATAACTTACATTCCATTAAGAACTGTATTTCCGTGATTGGGATTGAGAGGTCATAGCCTAGCTGCAAAATTTGGTTTTATACCTCTGCTCCTCAGTACTGCGAATGTTTTCCTAAGGTTACTACACATTCTAAGAAGACCATTAACTAATGTTACAAGAGAGGCTCTTTGATCCCTTGGTGTCACTAAGTCTGAACTGTAATTGATCCAATTGCCTATGGCCAATAAGGGAAAGTGAAGACGGAGACTCTCAAGGTCATTTCAGAACCGATCTAAACTTGACTCTTTCCTTGCTCTAGATTATGTGTAAAGATATGGGCACACTTGAGCCCACCCCGCCCCCGCCCCCCAAAGCAGCACTATTCCAGCCTGGGAGGGGCAAGTCTTGCCGGGCCCACCAGTAACTGACATTATTTAAATGCAATATGGGAACTCTTACATAGACCGTGCTCTACAGGGTTAGAATCTGTTTCTAATCGCTAGGAATTTAGATTTAAACTACAGTTACAGTTGGAATTTACCATCGTTTCTACTTTCACTCATTTAGTGGCTTCTAGCCCTCTCCCGGCCCAGTCTTAATCCAATGCACTTCAGTGGGAATTACACAACAGTTGCAGACTAGTGGGGGCGGGGGTAGTTCTAACACCAGGTCCCAGTGAGAGAGCGCAAAGGGCGGGGGCAGCACCTCCCGGCTGGGTTGGGTCCGCCTTGCCTCGCCTCGGGGATTCTTGGCGCTCCGCGCCGCCCTCCCGCGACTGCGCTACCCGCCGGAGCCCGGCGTCTTAGCTTTCCTTGCCCTGTGAACGCCGCCCATCGCTCCCGGGAGGATTTCGCCTCTAGCACCTCAGGCTTTTCTGGCGCAAAGGTCGCCGGCCAACGCAAGCCCAGGCGAAGGCTTCACTTCTGCAGAAGGAAAGCAAAAGCCGAGGCCCGCTGGCCAAGGGGGCTGCCGAATGCGCCTCGTGGCTGCCGCTCCAGAATACGCAGCGGCGGCGCCAGGGCGGTCTCCCAGCCCTGCAGACCCCGGCTCAACTTCCAGCGCCACTCGGGTGCCAGAGACCGCCGCCGCTCCCGGCGCGCCCTACCGCCCCGGCGGGAAGCCCCCGACCAGCCCGGGGCGCCCTCCCGCAGCACCTGCCCGGCCACACCACCTCCCGCACAGCGCGCCCCCCTCCAGCCGCCGGCCCGGAGTTCCCCGGTTTCTGAGCAAGACGAGCCAAAGGGAGTTCCTGAGGCTCAGCAGCCCCCAGCGTCGGCTTCTCGGGTGACCCGACGCACTCCCTGGAGCGCGGGCCCGCCTCCACCAAGCCTCCACCTCAGGTCGGTACAGAGGAGTCGCGGAAAGATGCAATGCCCGGCGAGGGACACTCCCCGGATTTTGAAAAACAGCCTCATTCCCCTCGAGAGCGCCTCGATCCCACACCCGCACCCTGTGGCCAGATGATTTTAATCCTGGGATGAGGCCTCGGTTGGGGGGACTGGGAGCTGGAGCGGGAGGAGAGGAGCCGGCAGCGTGGAGTTGCTGGGGTGCAGCGGCGCGCCGCTAGCGGCGAGGGGTGGCAGGCCCTGCGGCTCCGCGGGGCTGGAGGAACAGGCTCCTGCGCTTCTGCCTCCCGGAGGATCGCAATCGCTCATCCTTACACACACACACACACACACACACACACACACACACACACTACCTCTAGCGCCCCCCACGCCGCAAGCCGGAATGCAGAGGTCAGAGCCACTGTCCACTTGAAAGCAGGAAAGCAGGCGCTGAAACGCGGAGATGGAGGCGGAGGCTCTGGCCTCATCTGCGAGGCTCGCACCTTCGCAGAAGGACCCCCAGTTTTGCCAGGGCAAGCAAGGTCTGGCTTCTGAGACTCAGCTCTCCGGGCTAGCGGTTCGAGCTGCAAGGGGGCGGGGACGGATTAGGAGGGAGCAGTGTAGAGAGAGCCCACGCTCACTCCTGCCCTCCTCGAAAAGAACTGGCCAGCCCCACTCGCCTCCAGCGCACAACTAGGTGGCCGGGGCCAGGAGGTCAGACCCCAGGGCGCTCCAACTCTGGCGAGGGCGGGGAGGGGAGTGACAGCAGCAACCACTGCGCGCGTTGGCAAAGGCACGGAGTCTCTGAATAGGCTAAACGGCGGGCTCGGAGGGGTGGAGGCAAGTGGGGCGGAGGAGGAGTTGCCCGAGCGGAGAGGGATGACGTCCTCCAGGGCCTCTAGCTCCGAGGGACCGAAGATTGGTGCGCTCGCCGGGCCCCGCGCACTAGCTCTGGGGTTCGCAGAGGGTCCGCGTCCGGTTCCCGCGGCGGCTCCCGCACAGCGCGCAGGCGGCCGATCTCCGCCAGCTTAAGCGGGGCGCAAGCTCTCTGCCCCCTTTAAAGCACCTCTCTGCTCGTCCCTAGTCTCCGACTGCCCGTCCAATAGTCCCTGCCGATTCCGGGCGGACCCGGCCAGGCAGCCCCCAGTCGGGTCAGCCTCGCCGCTTCCTCGCTCTTTCCCCCATCGACCTCGAGCCAAGGGCAGGCGCCCGCACCCGCGCCTCTGCCCACGGGGCTAGGCGGCGCTCCCGGCCTACGCCCGGCTGCCAAAAAGGATGGGGCACAGAAAGGGAAAGGCGCTCACCTGGGTCGCGGAAGTCTTCCTTTGAGGCCCCTCCCGGAGCTTATTCGCAGCCCGCAGGCACAGCCTTCCTTGGATAAAAAAGTAGCGAAAGGGCAGAGAGAGGTAGGGCTGCTCACAGCTCCCTCCGCAGCGGCTCTTTCCTTCGAATTCTCCGAGGTCCAATCTCCGGATCGGCGGCGGGAAAGAGCTCCCGGAGACTGGAAGGGGCCGCCAAACCCGGGCTCCTCCCGCAGCGGCGGTGGCGGCACCTCCAAGTTGCCACCTGCAGCGCGCGTCGGGCGCCTGTGACAGCCCGCGCCGCTTAGCCCGCGCAGGCCCGCCCTCCCGGTCGGTTCGTTGGCTGTGCCCGGCGCCCGGGCGGTCCCCGCGCGCGGCCCCGCCCTTAGCCCGCCTCCGAGCCGAGCGCTCGCAAAGTGTGGGTCTCCTTGCAGGCCTCCCTAGGCTTTATAGCCAGCGGGCCCTGCAAGCAGGGAAAGAATTACACACACACACACACACACACACACACACACACACACACACACACTTTTGTGTAGGTAGGAACTGGAGGAAAGGGAGAGGTTATGATCAATGTCCCTTCGTGTGCCTTAAGGGGACCTGGTAACTTGGTTTCTTTTGCTGATATTAAATTTTTGCAATCTCTGAAAAGAGTTAACTTCACAGCAGCGGTCTAAAGATGCAGGCCAGAAAGTGGCTTGGAGGCTTTTTCATTTAAGCATCACCCAACTTCACATGAAGCGCCAAAGATGAAGAGCAGTGTGTAGACAGACCGAGCTTGCCCTCTTTTCTCACCCAGCCTGCATCCCTGCAGCGGAGGACCCTGGGGTTCCAGCTCCCCAAAGCCATCCCCACTGGTGCTCACAAGGTTTCCTGAGCGTGTCACATACATGTTTGCTTGATTCTGTGGGCTGAGTCCAGGCATGAGAATGTACGCCCATGCACAGACAAACGAAACTTGTGCTTGTACAACTCTTGGACTTTTTAAGTAAACAAAGGGAACAACATTATCTTTCTTTTCCTTTCCACCTTTACCCCAAAGACCTGGACAATTCACTGTGCAATCAGTGGCACTGAGGCCACTCTTCACTCACTCTGCCTCCTACTAGTTCCTGAAGGCGTGCTTTCTGGAAAACTGATTTGGTAAAGTCTTCTGGAGGAGGAAAAGCTATAAAAATATGACAATCACAAGTCTGGAAAGCCATCCAACCAGAAACGTCTGACTCTTGGGTGTATCTATGTGAAAGAGGTACATCGCCAGGTGCCTATTAGTTTAATAACATTCCAAAATTAACTGCCCAAATATCACATTTTATAGCCCATTAAGGAAATGTCTATGTTTTGAGAGTGCAGGTGTTGCACTGTTAAATGAGACTGGAGTGTGTACATGCAGCTCACATCTATCTGTGTCTTGTGGAATCCTCAGCAGCCTGTGGCAGAGGAAAGAGCCTTTCTACAGGAAGTCAGAGATGGCTCCCACAAGGGTATACTGGAAACAGCTAGCCAGTCAAGAAGCCAAACCCTGTCAACTGATGCTATGTAACTTGGAAGACTGCTAAATAGCACTGGTTCCTTGCATCAAAGCAAAGATTTTGTTTCATGAGACCCTATCATCTTGGGTCCACTTTGGAAATTAAAAGCAAACTTTTTTCCCTGCAGCCAAGATTATTTACTCTGGCCACTCTCAGAAGAGGCAAACTCGTCCTCACCTTTCTTCTTGAAGCTCCTGACAACAGAAGTCCAGTGGCAAAGCATTCACAGTAAGATATTTCAATACCCCAGATTAAATGTTTGCTTATGAATTGCATTTTGAACTGAATTGGGTAAAACAATGAGTAGAATGAAGGTGTGGCTTGCTCAAGTTTTAAGTCCAGATTGACTCAATAAATGGAGGAATAGCTGATAAAAATAGGAGCAGAAGGGTGGGTAATGGGGGTAGTGGTGGCTGTTAAGCTAGATACATGTCTGTTATGTTGACAGCCAGATGAGGCACAACTTGACAAGATGGATTTCTTTCTGAGAGTGTTGTGTCAAGCACAGAAGTGGTGAAAAGTTCTTCCTTAGGAAAACAATGTTTCTTCATATTTGAGACGGAGCTTGAAGACTGGCATGAATGAGAAGGTATGATGTAGGAAAGAGGGAGGAGTAAGAAAGGATTGGAAGAGAAAACGGGAGAGTCTACTGACAGCGGCACTGAGAAACCAGAGGACACTGGAGCCCCTGCGGCTGAAGATTCTGAAGGACGAGACAAAGAGAATGTGAAGGCAGTCAGTGTAGAAGCTGAGACCTAGAACGGCTTCCCCAGCACCTCTGTGTCTGTTTTGCTGGATTTGCATGTGGGACACTTTATGTAAACATTTTCTTTATATGTAGAAAGAAGATAAGGGTGTCTACCTGACTGACCTGTGGTAAGGACTGACTGAGATAATGTATCTGCAGTGCTCTACGTATAGTAAGCATTCAATAAATAGTAGCTACTATTATAATCTGTGTTTAAAAGGGGCTTAAAGGTCACCTACCTCTTCGAACACTTGTTGCCACTAGACTTTTCCACCAAATGCCCCTCCTGCCTACACATTCCTAAGAATCTCATTACTTCAGGCCAAGTGCCATGGGTCACGGCACTTTGAGAGGCCGAGGTGGGTGGATCATTTGAGCCTATGAGTTTGAGACCAGCCGGGCAAGAAAGTGAGTTCTCACCCTGCCCCCGCCCCCCAGTTTCTACCAAAAAAAGAAAAAGAAAGGGAAGTCTCATTATCCCTGAATAGTCTTCTATTTCATAGTTGACATATATGTCAACTACGAAACTATGGAATTTCATTTTCCATAGTTGAAGGTAAAATGTGTCTCACTACCCTTCTGTTTCTATCCATGGTGATCTTCCAAACATGTAAACCCTATTTCACAAGAAAGCATTCCAAATTGTTAAAAACAAATGACCAATGCCCCATGTGACTTCTTTTGTTGAGGCTAAACATTCCCTGTCCCTTTGGTCTCTCCTCACATGATCTGCTTTCACAATCTTTTCTCATCTCTTACCCTCCAAATTGCGTCTGACCTCCTTAGAATTTGAAGGAGGTCAAACACTGCTTCAGCCCAGTCCTCCCAGCAAAACACCTGAGTTCAACATGCTGCTGTCAGTGTAGCCACGCTTTTGTGTGTGTTTTGAATGGGAAAATCGCACTCTTGACACTCATTGAGTTGCCTGGGAACTGAAACTCATACATCTTCCTATGTTGCTGTTTGTGCATAACTTTATGGAGGAGTCCTTTAATGCTTTGTCCTTTAATGCTTTCTTTTCTGTAAAAGGAGAGGATTAGACTAAATGACCAATGAAGTCCATTAAAAAATTATAATTTCAAACTTAAAAAAATAGGGGGAAATGGTACAAAGAAATTCAATATCTGTCTCTTCTAGTTTTCCCAATTTTTATTATTTTATATTTGATATATCTCTAGATATAGATAGATAGATACTCATGATTAATATTCTTTTTTCTGAACCATTTAAGAGCAGGTACAAACATACTGCTCCATCGCCCTTAAGTACTTCAGTGTTCGTATTTCCCCCAAACCAGAATTATCTCCTACGTAAGCATAATACAACACTGAGGTAACACCATCCACAAATTCATACAACCTATTCAAATTTTACCAACTTTCCCCTGAATGTCTGTTTTTCCTTCTGGTCCAGAACCCAGCATAGAATCACATGTTACATTTAGTTGACATGTCTTACTATTCTCCTTTGATCTGCTACTATTTTTCAGTTTTCTCCCAAGTTTAATGAACTTGATGGCTTTAAAAATATATATGTTTCATTCTACAAGCTGTTGCTTAACTTAGATATATCAGCTGTTTCTTCATATCCGATCCAAGCCATACATTCTTGTCAAGAACATCAAAGAAATGATACTCTGTCCCTGAAAATGCATGGCATTAAAAGGGACGTGGTATCAGTTTAACAGAACCATCATTATGATGTTAACCTTTGATATCTGGTTTAGTGGATACTGGGATTCTCCATTATAAAGTCACGACGTTTCCATTTCTCATAAGTGTTTCGTAGAATATGCTCTGAGGTTACACCAATATTTTGTCCACATTGAAACTTCACTCAGTCAGTCTAGGTGGGCATTGATAACACCTTCCTAAATCAATCACCACTGTGACGGTTGCCAAATGGCAATTTTCCATTTGCACCTTTTTTTTTTTTTGGCATTTATTAGTTGGCATTCTTCTATAAAGAACACCTTTCCCTTCCCTGCACTTATTTACTTATTTTAGTCTAGGCTCATGGCTTTCTAGTCTATTCTACAAGTTGCATTCCATTATTTTCATTATTTATTTTGATACCTAAGGTGTCCAAGATTTTGCAAGTGGGTATCTCCTCAAGCTGGATCTTAGGTCCCTCTGACACGTCCTCATTGTTCTTTAGCAGCTGCTTACCTTCTGGCACATCAAGATGCTCCATGCTTATTTTGTGCCTTCCCTGCCCCAGGTCTGAAATAAGCCCACTCTCCAAAGAGACTTGGTTCTTCTCACTGGGGGATGACATTTAAAAACCAAGATCTGGGTCCTTGGTTGGCTCACTACTGCTGGAGTGTCAGACCTTTAGGCTCTCTCAGTGGACACTGTAGGAAATAAATGATATGTGGTCACACACAACCACACATACACATTTATGTCTGTTGCTGTATGTGTGGATATCTGTATCTATATCCATCTATAAATATATATCTACCTCCATATCTCTATACCTATTTCTAATTATGGATTCACATCAATACCTTCCATTTCAAGCCAACGAATCAGGATTCTTTTTAGCCTTTCTCCTTTCTATATTTGTAAATCTTTTCTCTAACAGAGAGAAACCTGACTCCCATTCTCTTGAGTATATTGACTTATTTGCTCCATCTAGCCTTACATAACAATCTTCTGATGACATCAGCCACCTCCTCACTCTTGTCCTGGCTGCTGCACCTTTGAACCTCCCACCCAGGCATTTGGCTCCATCACCGCCTCTGCGACTTGTCTCCTTGGCCCCTGGTTCTGCTGCTGCCTCCTCAGCTCCTGAC